AACTGGAAAAAGTCATTTCGAAATGGCAGTGAAGAAATCGTTGTTTTGAATGAATATTTGATCGTTGGCCCGACCGTTTGTTTATGCGTGCCGGACTGAACATTCCAGGGTTACCTGTTGTGGTCGCGCAAGCTCCGCAATAATAATAATAATAATAATAATAATAATATTAATAATAATAATAATAATAATAATAATAATAATAATAATAATAATAATAATAATATTATGAACCAAAACTACAATATGACGAAAACGGGGGCTGCGGAAATTTTGGTTGACTGTTATTCACCAGTCACTGACATCTCGCAATACAAATCTTGAGCAGGATTTGGGGACATCCGCACGTAGCGCCATCTCTTGTCGACCACTGCAGTGGTCTGCTGTGACTAAATTGAAAACAGGCTGAAATAATCATATCGAACGATAAATGCTAGTTACCAAAAACAACTCTCGGTTGTACACAGCAGAGACATATTTCAACAACCTGGCAAAGTCAGGGGTGCACTACAAACCGCGAGGGTGTTCCTATAGTGTTGAATATTTAACAATGGGGTATTATGTATTTCTATGGGTGGTGTCCAATTATCTTGAGAAACCACACGCTTTGCAATGGGATACTTCAATTTTACCAAAATGTACCAGTTGACCTCTGCTACACATAACCGGAAGAGTATCATTACATAATTGACTTTTTCAAGAGATGAGATTTTTTCTTATCCATTTTCCATTCAGTCTCGGCAGGCTGCTATTTCTGTCGCCGAAAGATAGCGCCACGTCCAGATGCCCCACGTTCCTGGGAATAGCTCTAAGCATACCGCTTCCATCGAAATGCAATTTGCCGCGATCAAAATCGGTGCTCGACTACGGACTTTCAAGTCCGTAGCCGAGCACCGACTGCTGACTCGACAAGACATTCTCCTCTCGAGCACCGTAATTGCAATTCTACATTAACAGACTGCAGTAGGCTTGACTTCATGCGCCGCACTCGTAATAAAAAAATTGCTGTCTAAAACAGTCGTGAAGCTTTCCAATTATTCGGGCACGGCGTGCGGCGTGTAATAGCTTGCGTCACCAAAGTCTGTGACACGAAAGCACCAATTTCTAACAAATAAGTATGAAATGCCGCGTAAATTTGATGTCTCAAACACATGGCTCGCGGGCCGCATTCGGCGGGATGACCTTTCTCCGGAGGCCCGCAGCAACCAAAGGAATAAATTTTTGCGACTTTGCGGAATAGTGCTCAGAGTATTTGGTCACCTATTGAGATTATTACCACTTTTGCTCGTAGAAGTAGAAAAGAGAGGAATGTCCTCAATAACATTTTTCTGAGTGCCCCCCCCCCCCACCCCATGCTATCACTATGCTTTGGGGCATCACCCCTGAAGAAAAGAAAAAAATCCACTTCAGAATGTTAGTGAATTCGGAGGTCGTATCAATTAGATAATGTGATGGGTAGATTGTTTGATAACTTATTTACGATTCGCAGGACTCGGCGAATACGATCGCACCAGTTTAGCAACAACAAAAAGCGACGCTGTCTTCCTCTTTCTTTCATGTAGGCGCACTGTGAAAGCTGTTTGCATCATGGTATTTCTCGAAACCGCTTCAGTAGAAGACGAAGTGTCGTTATGGGAGAACGCGAAACGTGGCGATTATGGACATGGAGTGGTTATTATTTATGCACAATGAAAGCCAATTTCCACGGGGAGAGCCAAGTTTGAACACTGTTTTAAAACACCGAATGACGTTTAATAGTGGTGGCACTGCAAAACATAGTAAGTTACAAACTTCGAAAACGTACATTTATAAAAAATTAAATTTTTAGGTGTTTATGACATGAAAGCTCCTTATTTAGTAAAAAATATTAACCAAAATGATATGAGCCGCTCTAAAGTTATCACCTTTTTTTTTTCAACCCCTTCTAGACATATCCGAAGCCAAACCTGAAGTATTCCGCTGCCGTAACAACTGCCACCTTATCGTAAATATTTCTTCGTGTACATATTAGATCACGCTTAAATATGTTCTAAATTCTGTGCAACATGTCTGAAGTTTATTTTGAAATCTCCACAATTCGGCGGCAACACTCTGTTGATTACTGTTGCGCGTGTTTTCGCTTGGCTGTTTGTGCCTTTTTATATGACATTACGAGCTGTTGTGCTTAGTTTTGACTTCTGAAAGAGCGAGTTAATAAATTTGGCAGGGCATAGAATGAAAAAAAAAATCACGCAAGTAATGAAGTGAGTATGCGAAGTGTTGACGCACGGTGGAGCACATGGGTCAAAGTTAGGTGTAGAGAAAAAAACAAGCTGAAAAAAAATACTGACTTCGGCTCGCTCAAAAGAGAACTTTGCCGCTTGAAAAAAGGTGCATAATTATGAACTTGTTGAATTTGAGGCATAAGCTTTCACCGAAACCTTTAAAGCAATTTTTGCTGAAATATTATTCTGCGCATCCTAAAGTTACGCGAACAAGCGATAAGTCTCCTTCTAAGATATTTTCAGACAAAAATATTTTGTGCGGTTCAATTTTAGGCGGAACTGTGCATTAAAGCAGATTTATTGGAAACTAGCATTATTTTTTTGTAGTATGAGTAATGGAATCCGAACAAAACTGCCAAATATAAACTTTATCAGTCTTTTATGATAACGCACTTTAGCTCAGGGATAAGGCGATCATCGAGGTTAGATGCTCAAATTGTTAGCTTCGCTATGTAGCTGCCATATTGCCTTTTAGTAGCGCAAATAGCTATAGGTATGAGTCTAATGGCTGTTGGCCACACATGAATACTGTGTCATAGTTTGCGTTTTATAAATCTTATGAATAATTATTGGATGATTTCACTAACCTGAAGTTTTAATTTGCATATGCTCTACAAGGCAAAAGGATAATTTTTATCGTTTTGTGCTAAAGCTGTTAAAACTTTCTTGCAGGAGGCATTCGTTCAAAGGCACAATAAACAAGTAATAAATAAATTAATTGAATGCCTAATGGTTTTCCTTCTGTCTATCATTTAGTTTGTAAATACTCGAGAGGCTATATGGGTATATAAAACGTCTACAAGATCCCGTGTTCGTTGCAAGTTCGACAAAATGCGCTCAATACAACCAACGTTCATCGTTTTCAACAGAACACTCTTATACAGCGGACAAAGGTAACCGTCTTTTACTTTCTGGAATCACTTTTGCACTTCTCCTGAACAACGTTTACCATTTCTCTTCAACAGGACTAGCGTTGAAATGCGGGGCATCTTTAGCCCACGCAACACAAACCGGATGTATACCATGCACGCAGGTATTACAAGTATATGTAATTTCTTCCCAATGAAAAAAAAGCAACGTTTTCATCGACCTACTTGATCTGGCTACTAACCCAAGTATGAAAATTGCTGCTATTTTATTTAGCGAACCAAACACAGATGCACGAATATGTGATAAAGATAGCAAAATTACTCCTGAAAGCAATGCACGGCCGCGCACTTTCATAGAAGTGTTTTACAATAAGGTTACTTTTGTAAAGGTGGTTATGTGAAGGGTATTGGGCGACAAGTCACAATGGCGATGGTAAAGTTACAGCACGCATTCCAAGCCTAAGCAACATTTTTTTTCAGAAGAGATGGTTGATTGGATTAAGTACAACTACCGTATATATCGGCACAAAACGAGTCACCAGAAGACTTAACAGCTTGTCATTAGAATAAAGGCGGAAGGCCTTGAGGCGCTTGATATGGACAAAGTCATGTACTCGATAGCACTTGTCGCGATAGCTAACGGGTTTTATCAGGTAGTTAACCATCAATGTTTTTTCGATGACAATCAGAAGCTCTCGTAATACGGTTGTTGTGAAGAGAGGTCAGATGCGTGGCACTGACCGAGGGCCGAACGAGCGTCCCAGGTAGTAATTTGGGTCCCGCAGTGGAGATGTCCTACGGAGTGTTCCTACAGCTGCCTTCCGTCATGTGTGAGGTAAATGTTTTGGCAGGCCAATGACACTCTCGAGGAAGAGTGGCCGCGGAAGAAATAGGCACACGCTCAGATCTATCCGGCCTCTATTCAAACACTGGGTCGATAGAGGGCGATAGGCGCCTGCCGTACAATGACGAGAAGAATGAAAAGCAACGAGTGATCCAAGGGGTGGCGTTGTAGGAATATGTAATCAAGGGCATAATGGCACGCTGATTCGTACGATTGGTGGCGATATTCATGAAGAGCATGACGCAGCCCGTACTGTTAGTGTGTTCCCCGACGTCATTCGACTGCTTTGTGGTAACGAGTAGTTTCGCAGTAAATAACGCGCCACTCTTTGGGACGGGCTTTCAACACCTTCTGACAGAAAGACAAGGCATCGCTCATTGAGCAGCTCCTGGTGTTAACGATGAGCAGGAAAAATCAGTAGAAAAAGAAGGCGACAACATGGCTGGGTGTAGCTGCTAATAATATTATTATATGGTGTTTAGCGTCCTCAAAGCACGATATGACTATGAGACACGCCTTGGTAAAGGGCTCCCGAAATTGTGACCCCCGGGCAATGGCTAACGTGTACCTAAATTGCTTAATCACACGGTTCGGCATTATTTTCGCCTAGACTGGCTGTAGTCATTGTAAGAGCGACATTTGCCACGTATCGTGTGATTTAGTGACTGGCGATAATGGTCCAGCAGCTGCCAGACAGCGTCAGAAGACGTAGCCCACACAAATCGATACAAATGCATCTAAACAGCTGGTTAGGACAGGAAGAAGAATGCAGAACTGCTTGCGCCAACAGCATCGAAGTTTCGCGGCTCTGAAAATTGAAGAAGGACCCACTGATCTTCTGCATCCAGTTGTACATCTCTCGCTAAATGTACCAATATCGGTTGCGGTGGTAAGTTTTGAATAACCCTGAACATGCACACTGAGGACGAGAGCAGCACAAATCCTAGTTTTCAGAAGGCAGACATCACGGTATAAACAGTAGTCACTCAGGGGCCATCGCCATTGTACTTGCATCGGTGAAACAGGTCTCAGTGTATAACAAAATGATGGGCTTGATAATGCAACGCTTGAGTGTTGCCGATTGATGAGTCAGAAGCCCATAACAGAGACATCGCACAGATGTTTGCGCTGTTCGGTTGGGATGATGTGAATGTCAGTGGATGAAGCAGCAATGCCAGAAACTGAGCAAAAGTCATTGTACATGGGCGAGGGGTCGTTCCTAACAAACACGTAGCTGATTATATGAGGAACCAGAGTGCAATGGTGGCATGCGGAGCATGGCCTGCGTGAGTTCCTGCTCAATCGCAAGGTTGAGAGGTCACACCAGTGTAGTTAATGGCTGTTCAACATGTAGCTGTTGCGTAAGGCTAGTGGAAAGGCATGGAGGGTAAATTTAATAGCGCACGAATAATTTCATATCGGTGAGCAAAGCGAAGTGGTCAGAAATGCCTGACAAGCCAGCGCAGCTCCTCGTAGTTCTGGCACCAGCATGGTTACATCTGCGACAGGGCGAGGGTTCTTGGCGAGAAGCTTGGTGAGGGCATCGTCGTCGTTATCTATCAGAACTATTCTCATTTTGTCAAAATCCGACATAATCACAGTCGGATTTCTTACAGAATTCAAGATTGTCTTCCATGTAACTAGTGAATGAATCACCGGCCTAGGTGAGCTCGTTCACGTAACACGTCGATAATGGTGGTCTTGGAATCTGACCTCAGTGGTCCGATCTCATGATTATGTCACATAGGCTTGCCAAACAGGGGAGGTAGTAAACAAGCCTGCTTAACTTAGTTTCTCACCCTTCCATTTGTTTAGGATGCTCAAGCATTCGTAAATCGCAGACCTGTCCTCCACGATGGTGTCATGCACCCCAGTGAACCCATGTAGGTCGCGGGCATAAGCGTGGGAAGAGGCGTTTGTGGGCCGGTGATTTGAACTATAGGAGATGGCAGGGCCTGGATTTGAAGGCTCCAACTGGTGGTTGATATGGATTGTCGGTACGCACGTAGTTGTTCCAACAGCAGCGTGCGAAGCACGTCGATGTTTGATGGGGACACAGATCTGACCACATTACACAAGCGCTGTGTTCTGTCAGTCCCACCTGTATCTCATTTCTACGCTGTTTAAAATGACTGTGCCAAGCTTTCGGTGCATCCAATAGAGACCAAAGTTATTTTGAGTGCACAGAACATCCACCAATCGTAAAGGTATTCACTTGAAAGCAATTGGCAAATCGGTGCAATGGCAACTGTCAAAGTGAAGACACGAACTCTTCAGCAAAAGCGGCGCTTCTGTGGAGTAACGCAAAAGAGGTTGGCCACGCTTAAAAAATCGTGTAATTTCGTTACACTTCAAAAGTTTTGGTTGACCTAAGGTAATGATCACACCTTGTTTTTAGTTCGGAGAAGTACTCAAAGCACATTGAAAATACTGCAAGAAAAATTCGAAATGGAAGCACAGGCATATGTACACTTTGTTTACACCACATAGACGCTCAGATCACAAAGATATTCATTCAACTTATAATTCATAAGCGTTAACACTCAGACTAAAGAGTATTCAATTTAATAAGTGTTTATACCATAAAAAACACGAACATGATATAGGCAAAACTCGGAAGAAAAGCCGCTAGACCTTCGGACAAGTATCGCCTTCTTTTGTTCTACGCCGCTTTCTTCTCTCCCTGCCGGAGCTTCTTGTCTCTTCGGTTTAATGCGGTGATTAACCGGTTTTCACCGCTCGACGTCATGTTGGACGCGCCAAAGCGCCACTGTGTTGCTTGTTCGCTGCATGCGAAGGGCAGGACTTTGTAGAGTCCTTCTCTCATAAGTGGTTATAATGTTTTGGATTTCATGATTATCGCGGCTGTTCTCAAGCGCAGTCCACCCAGCGGCTTGAGGAGGCCCTGGCAAAGCAGAGGAGAAAGGGAGCCGACGCCCCGGACAACGGGAGCGGAGGAGCCCGAGTATCCAACGCCTAGCCAGAGTCCAATGTCCTCAAGATCTAGGCCCTGGGACTATGGGACTATTAGCCATAGTCTTCAGATGGAAAATACCCGCGCCCTGCGTGGCCGGTGACTTCCCGCACGCCGGATGCACGCGTGAATAAATGTTGTTTCTCTCTCTCTACGTGTCTGCAACCGCATGCACGTCGCGTGTGCTCTTTATGAAATGAATCGCTGGCACCTGCAAAAAAATGCTTTGTTACAGTACATATGACGATGTGTCCCACTTTTTCATTCTTTGAGGTGATACTGTGCGTTGAGTTCATTCAGAGACTACATCGCTAGTAATGAGCGAAGTGGTAATTTCGACAGTAATCACGCGACTGTGTTTTTCGACCTCTACTTGACAGCACCATCCTGCCGTCCAGCAATTTGAAATAGTGTCTGTGCGCAAGAACGACCTTTATCCACTTCATTATTTGCAACGCCCATGATGACATGTAAAACCTCAAGACAATGATTGCAAACTGCGCCGCAGAGGACAAACATCTCAGGACGGCGTGCTGCGTGCACAAGTCATTGGACAAGCAAGGGAGATGTAGCATTTGAAACATCACGAAGTTCTGAGTGAGCACTTTAATGGCCATTGTTCACATTGCTGCAGTTATAAAGTACCGAGATAGTTTGTATACACAAGAACAATTCCTTCCCAAACAGCGTGGCTTAAGACACCGCAGCTGTGATTTTAATATTTCTTGCCTGTTCTATAACTAGCATTCCGAAATCACTTAACTTAATTTTAACCTGTTCTCGATGAACCCAGCTATGTATATCAGCGCCACATAGACAAGGGAACACTACGCGGCGGAGAGAAGTTTAAACGACGTAAAATTCGCTTTAATTTGTGCATGACTTGCAGCAGCTCTTCTGCCGCAATATCGATGGTGGGTGCACCCGGTCTTGCTGAGAAAATCAACGCGGAAGAATCATTACATAAAGCCGTATGCGAGGCACGGCACGCGGCCATGGCTGTAACTAATGCAGCAGCGGCGGCGCGCCACTGGCTCGAAAGCAAACTGCAAGTTCTTGGCGCATTACAGGAGGCGCCACTGTAGCAAGCGAAAGAAAAAAAAAATGCAACACGCCGGCAAAAAAGCGGCAAAAGGAAGAGCAGAAGGCGGTACTTTTACGAAGTATAGGGGCTTTACTCGGAAGGAGCTCAGTTTTTTTTTCTTTAATCACTTTCTCAGATTTGTTCATTGAGTTACTGAATAGATATGCAACATGTACAATACCAATTTATTACTACTGAACAGTGTGCCGTAACTGCAGAATATTTGCCTGTACGGCCTCCAACCGGGCAAACAGGATTCTGGTGTTTTTTTTTAATTCATAGGGTTCTTAGCGATCCAAAGTCACTTTGACCGTTTTATTTGTCCGTTTGTCCATCCGTACACTCACCTCTTCACCGATTGACCCACACACCGATTAACTAATCGGTCCATCCATCCATCCATCCATCCATCCATCCATCCATCCATCCATCCATCCATCCATCCATCCATCCATCCATCCATCCATCCATCCATCCATCCATCCATCCATCCGTCCATCCATCCATCCATCTGTCCATTCGTTCGTTCATCCATCAGTCCATCCATTCATCCATTCATTCGTCCAATCATCTATCCGTCCATCCATCCATCCGCCCATACGTCCATCCATCCCTCCATCCACCCATCCGTCTGTCCATTCGTTCGTCCGCCGTCCATCCATCCGTCCGTCAATCATTATATGACAGGCATGATTAAAAGTTACGACATGAATGATGTGATATTACTCTCCCACATTTGAATTGAAAAAAAAAACTTCATTTGCGTTATTTGGTTCGATGAAACACGACCCGGTCGTGCGTCAGGCTTATTTCCACTTGTTTAAAGATAATAGCCATGCCCCCGAAAAATTGGACTCAAAAAAAAAAACGTATGCTTGGACATGTTGGTTATTCATACTGGTTATTCTTGTTGACGTGTTGGTTATTCTTTTGGCACATAAAAGAAAAACGACGAAAACGACGTGGACTTACGAACTTACGAACATCAAAAAGAAATCAAAAGTGGCAGTCAGCGTTCTGTCCAAGTCATTTTTCGTCCCCATCCTTTTGCGAGTTTTAAAGTAAGACGAATTGGTCTAAAACTGCACTTCGCAGAAGAGGAAGACGCCTCAATGCAGCCATGCCTGTGCCAGCCATCATGAAGTCCACTCGCTAATTGACGTCTGGCACATGATCGCCTTCCACGACCTTTGCAATGCCGTTGTGCACCACAAAACATTACCCACCCGACATTTCTCATAGTCCTTGTATCTTCCTCCACCATCAATATAAGCACAAAAATGTAGATAATGAACTTTTCAAACTTGACCACGTGTCAAAAAGTGGCATCATCGATGGTGTTGGTGGCTGAACAAAATATTCCTAAAATCAAACAGAAAACAAATCACTGTTCGTTCGGTAATGGAACTCGCGAATTCTGGGTGCTAATGAAGTACCTTGCCCCACTCCTACATCAGTGCTCAAAACAGCCTAACAAAAGAGTGTACAGATACCACGTGGGCGAGCTGGCGAGAGATGTGTACGTCAAAGGCAGCGTTGTTGGGAATGTTCTGTGGCCAGCACTGAACTGTGTTGGCCGCGTCGCTTGGCACGTTAACCACCTGCCCTTTTATGCCCTACTGGCCGGTGTCATGAGTCAAATATCTATCGCTTCTACATGGCAGACATCGAGCTACTAGGCGTTCTTCAACGGTGTTGAAAGCAGGTAGGTGAAGGGGGCTCGGGAGCATATCGGTACCCGTTCGTAACACCAATCGCAGGAACTTGTCTCGTGTTGCCGTGCCGACGAAGCGGCGAGAACGAAGTGAGTGTAGTTGCGAGGAGGCTAGCACGCGAGCGAAAACCTAGGATGAATGGATGGATGGATGTATCCAGCTGTGTCCTTTAGATCAGGCGGTGGCTCACGCCACCTAGCCATAAAGTCAAGTATTATCACTGTGTGTTTAAGGAGTGAATTGCACTCGCGACTCGATTGTAGCCACCAATCAGTTAGCCTCCTCCTGGTTATTTCTACCCGTTTAAAGTCTATTTTGCCTTCACTGTCCCTAAACCCCAATACTTTGAAAAATTCGGCACCATTATATTGGACTATAGAGTGGAGCCCTTTACAGAACATTATCAAATGTTGAGCCGTTTTTACCTCCTCTCCACACGCACTACATACCGTGTCTGTGCCTTGGAATTTCGCTCGGTACGTCTTGGTCCACAGTACTCCCGTTCTAGCCTGGAAGAGCAGAGAACTACCCCGAGAAATATCGCAGATCTTTTTCCTTGCTATTTATTGCTCAAAAGTTCGGCAGAACTCTAGTGATAATTTCATAAGCATTCCCATCTTCCACATGTCGCTCTCTGTTTCCTTCACCTTCTTCTTAACCAATGTTTCCTTTTGGCTTGGTATTGCGCTGTTGTCTAAATAATTGCTTGACAATTTTCGAGTTCGTTTTCTCCATTTATGATCGACATTTTTTACGTACAAGTAAATGAAAACTTTCCTAGCCCAACGCTCGTCTCCCATTTTTCTCAATCGCTCCACACATTCTATCTCGCTGCTGGCTTCCCTGCACTCAAACGATGTCCATCCGATGTCTCCCTGGACCCCCTGATTTGGGGTATTCCTGTGTGCTCCAAAAGGAAGTCTACCTACGCCATGTTGTTTAATTTACAATCTTGCTTGAACTTCTGATTTCATGCACAAGACCGCATTGCCGAATGTCAAAACCGGGACCATGACACCTTTACAAATTCCTCTCACAACGTCATACATATTGTAGTTCCACAGGCCTATTTCTTATTACAGCTGCATTCCTGGTGCCCTTAGTCATTGCGTATCTTTCATGCTCTCTTAGATACTCAGCCCCGTTATTTATGCGTATGCCCAAGTATTTGTATTTATCCACTATATCTAGCGTGACTTCCTTGTATTTTATGCTCACTGCCTTTTGTTATCATTAAAAATCATGATTGTCCAGTTTTCTCTGCTGAACTTCAAATTTAACCTGTCTCCTTCATTACGCATATGTCTTCAATCCCTGCAGATCTTCCTTGTGTCGGCAATTAATACTATATCATCTGCATAAATCAATGCTGGTAAGCGACTGTTCAATGTGTTTTCCTTGCCTTGGCGAAAGAAAGGCTGAATCCGAGTAGACTACTGCTTTAATTTGGCTTCTAGTCTCTGGAGATACAGCATAAATGACAAAGGTGACAAGGGACATCCCTGTCGAAGCCAGCGTTGTATCTCTATAGGTGCAGATACCTGTTTTTCCCATTTGATAACTATCTTGTTACTTTTATAGATATCCTTTATAGATAACCTACGCCTTAGGTGCCGGCGCCATCTAGTGAGCATTCTTCGAATCACCGGAGAGGCGACCGGAGCAGCAACTTTGAGCGGTGACCGGAGAAGAGCACACTGGCATCATTGGTGTACACAATTGCAGGCGCCGCAGGCCAAGATGCGAGCAATAAAAGCGTGCCGGCCAAGCTCCGAAACAACGCTCACGTTAGCGTGTTGAGGTTTCGTCTTACATGAATTAGTGACTTGATGGGTGCTCCCATTTGAGCATGTTTTTGAGAGCCCGAATATTGGCGCTTAGGTTGATGTTAGCAAATTTCTAACTTTACTTTCGTGCTGTATACCAAAAAGACACGGCATGTATGTGTGATGCTGGTAGAGTGTAATTATGTGGAGAAAACGGTGCATCAATCTTAGCAACACTTGTACTCATACGAAAATTGCTTCAATGGTTGAGTGATTCTTTCACCCTATTAAAGCCTGGGGAACTATGGGCTAGCCTTAGAGCGAACACAAAAGCAGTAATGCCGATTACTTGTGAGGGTTACGTAAACAGAGCACGTAACTTTAGATACATTAACTGTGGAAGAGGAATGAATAAACAAAGAGTTCGGTGGCACACTGGTTCAATGCGTATAGAAGTCTATCAAGCAGCATTTCATAAAGTAGTATACAGTCAAGAAAATATTTCTGAAATCCACTTGGAAATGCTAATTTTAGATATTTTTCATTTTTCAGGCCAATTGATTGGTATTGAATCTTTATATTTTAAGGCATTGGACTCATCCTGTGCAGTTATTGTAGTCCATTCGTTTACCGAACGTACGTCCTTCTCTTGTACATTCTTACTACAACCAATATTGCTGCTGTCGAGGCTGGGCAGTACCGCGATACAAGAGCATCGTGATAGTGCTTCAGAGATACTTTTCAGTATCTGTATTGCTGTATCGAGATCATTCTCGAAAATGTATTTGTATCTCAGTAGTAAAATACTTGTACGATGTATCACTCGTATCGCGATACTATCTAGGACACGGGTATATCATTACTTTTTGTTTTCAGAAATTAGCTGAGATATGTTTACAATGGGACAAAATTCTTCAGCTGTGACCGTGGTCTATCTATCTATCTATCTATCTATCTATCTATCTATCTATCTATCTATCTATCTATCTATCTATCTATCTATCTATCTATCTATCTATCTATCTATCTATCTATCTATCTATCTATCTATCTATCTATCTATCTATCTATCTATCTATCTATCTATCTATCTATCTATCTATCTATCTATCTATCTAGTCTATCTATCTATCTATCTATCTATCTATCTATCTATCTATCTATCTATCTATCTATCTATCTATCTATCTATCTATCTATCTATCTAATCTATCTATCTATCTATCTATCTATCTATCTATCTATCTATCTATCTATCTATCTATCTATCTATCTATCTATCTATCTCTCTCTCTATCTATCTATCTATCTATCTATCTATCTATCTATCTATCTATCTATCTATCTATCTATTTATCTGTCTGTCTGTCTATCTGTCCTGTCTGTCTGTCTGTCTGTCTGGCTGTTCACTGGCTGACTGACTATCTATCTATCTATCTATCTATCTATCTATCTATCTATCTATCTATCTATCTATCTATCTATCTATCTATCTATCTATCTATCTATCTATCTATCTATCTATCTATCTATCTATCTTATATGCTTGTCGACGCGATACGATGATACTCCTGTTCTTGTCACTTTAATGGACCGCATGAAACAGCCTTGTACGCGTGACTCTTTTCAGGAAGACGAGTTCACTTTTGAAGAATACACACGTGTCTCTGAGTATCTGTTATGTTTTACCCCGGCTGGATTAATTTGTGCTAATCTACAATCTACAAGGACAGCAGTAAACCATCCATGATGTTCTGAGTGTCAAATAGTAGGCAGAAATGAGGCAGGATCCAAGAATATATTATTACCTGAGTACGGGAAAAAGTTCGAACTGCTTTATATTCAAATTCCAGGTTACTGCGTCATTGGAGAAGTAATGCATTCTCTCTTCATCCTTTCCTAGGTGGAACTGTTTATGTAGATCTTCGTATCAGAAATTCTGCTGTCAGAGCCGGGCCAACGGCAACGTGCACAAGAGAGTTTTCTCGGTTCGCCCGCCATGGAGGAAGTGTCATCTACAGTCCAAACTGTTCGCAGGAACTGCGTAATGCGCTTATGTGAAGTGCTAGTTTCTAAAATGGCGTTCAGTATATTCATGTTCTATGGGAATGCGCACTGCTATTGTTGTACGCGTTCATACCATTATATGTGTATTAGACATGTTGCTGCAAAGTCTTGCATTATACTTAGTGCATTGGGGTTGGTTCAGACGTACGGTAGTTCCATTTTGCGCACTATATGAAACGAGAATGGTCGCGAGCAGACAGTGAATTGTCAAACTGGGCCGTCGCAGAGCTATAGAAGGGTTGATAGGCGGGCTTGTTGGTATATATTGCGCTTGTTTGTCTCCTTTCTTGTGTCCCGTTAGTTTGCGCTCCCAATTATTTCATTATGAGTCACACAGCTGTATATCCAATACAGTTCCACCGTCTTGTACCATTAAAAGCGCAATAGCTTCTTGGGAATATACGCTTGAGACGGTAGTCCGTATGCTGCGATTGTAGTGACATGAGTTCAGCTAATAAAAGTGCTTTTTGAAAGTGATCGCACTGCCATTGGGCTCAAAAAGCCTTTCCCTGTAAAAAATTTCGGGCACCTACAAGAAAGTAGGAGCTGGTTGTTAGATGAAGAGGAAGAATTGAACAGTAGTGAAACGTCTAACTGAATAACTTTAGAATATTACTAACAGGACTTAATCGTCAGAAAACGTATACGCACCGAATAAAACCACATACGGCATAACACGTGGCAGGCACATTAAAGACCGGCAGTATGCAGCTCCCTTTAGAGTAAAACAAGCAGAAAATTCTTACATGCTCCTCATTGGACATACTTTTTTCCCTACATACTCTTCGGCGTCTTCTCTGAGCCAATATAAAACTACTCATGATCACCATCACCATCATCATTAAGTCTGAGCTGTCAGTTCTAAAATAGAGGGGTGAACAAGGACGACAAGCACACAGGGTCGACGTCTGCTTGACATGCTTGCATTTTACCACGGATTCACCACGAATCACAAGCTGGCCCAATCTTCCACTCAAACTTAGCTGGTTGTTGGAGGGTCCTGGTTTCCCGAGTGATCCAAATACAGAGGCACGAGAACAAGGATCGTGCACTGGCAGCAGGAAAAAAAAAGATGAAGGATAGAAAGATAACGCAGCTTCGAAACAGTGGCACTAGACTACGTACAAAAAAGTACAGAGTGTGACAGTTTTTTTCTTTCCTCCTCCCTTTATTTCTACAGCCAGGTCGCCTAATGGGCCACGCCTTATTCAAGACATTCTTAGAGGATGGCGAAGAAGACTTCTCGTTAGCGCTGTATTGTGCTCATTTTTATCATCAAAGCACCCGAAGAAGAAGACGAAGAATATTTCTCAGCGCGAACGCACTTTCGCTGAGCTAGAGGTTAAAAGTTACGCAAAACGACTGCGGCATTATACAATGACGGTGGGCCACAGGGTACGATACCTCAACCCCATAAAGTCCACGGCACTCCGACGACGTCAGTTGAGTGTTTTCACTTTCTCTTCTCAAAAATCGTGGTCTAGAACCGCTTTTCTTTTTTTTTCGCGAAACCTGTACCTGCTCGTTTTTTTGTCGCCTTCCAATAGAAATAAGCCTATGCGCAAACCGACACGCAGACAAATAGGACGGCACTGATGGTAGTGCCGTGCTGTTTTGTAGTTCATGTACTGCTAAGCGCTAATATTTTTTTCAAAAGTAATGCACCAGCCACCCAAAGGAAGTCATAGAACCTTTTTCCTAAACCTTATTTTTGTGGCCTCTCTTGCTCCATCTTTCTCGTCACTGTAGTGAACTTGCCAATTCGTCTGAGCATACTATGCGCATAACAGTTGCTTTTATAGGTGCTAATGTGCAACAGTTACATTGTTTGGCAGCAAAGTTTGCACACAAGTTTGGCATTCCGTAAGTTAGCGAACATGAACGTATGTGCCGCAGTATTAGGTTAATCCGGAAAATAATGTGCGGTTTACACTGAGTCGCGCAAGGCTGGCGCAGAGTATAGCGTTGGTCACTCGAAGACCCGGCCGATCTCGGGTAATTAGGCATATGTGCATTCGCACGCAGATTCACGAAGTGTGTTGGCGTTATAACATAGAAAATGACCCATATTGGCTGTGCATCGATTGAGTTTTTTTGAAAACCGCTTGACAATGACACCAAGAAGTATCAGAATTGGCTTTCTCTATATTTATCACTAACTTCTTTCTAACGATTTTTATCTATATATTTCTTTTATCTGATTGTTTGGCTGACTTTCTCATGTAGTCTTGATTTTTTTTTCCTCTTTTGGATGACTTCTGTCAACACATTTAGTGTTTTAGCCAATTTTCTTCTGTGCCTCTTTACGTTTATTCTCTTTCTTGCCTTTCTGTTAGTGTATCTGTTTCTATTCCTATTGAAATACTACGCTCTCTGTCTGCAGTCGATATTCTGCCAATCTGAGATATTGGATACCACGCTGCACCTTTCGTTAAGTGAGAAAGCACTCGTCAGGCGCACGTTTTCGGGGAGCGCAAATACGAAAAGGAACGTGCAGGGAGTGCGAAAAGCGGCACAAGGATGATGGTTTCTTGCCTACATCGTGAAGCAGACAAATGGCAGCCATGAGAGCTCAGGCGTAGTAAGGCAGTACAATTTTCAAGGGAAGATGAATGCTTGATGTGACGAAACGTTGTTTACAGCTCGAGACCTTACCTTTTCTATAACTATTCGGTGTTGGAGGGATAAAAATTAGGGAGACTGCACGTACCTTGGGTATGGATGTTATGCGAAGCATATGGATAGAAGGTCGCTGGGTTGCCATTTTTCACTGAGCGAAACGTTTCGAAGTGGTGCTGGACGTACATATGATCGGACGCATCCGTTAAACAGCCGCATTTGTTTAATATAACCAGTTGTTTACAGTTGCACATTGATGCCAACAGCAACAGAAATATTAGGGTCTCCAGAAGAAGTAAGTTGACATAATGTGCTGGTGCTCGCGAGGGTTGTAACCCTGGACACTGCTACATCAATGAACTTCCGCGAATCACACCTAACTGCAATTGACTTGAATTGTGATGGCTGTACCAAAATACTACATATGTAACATTAGGAAGTTGGATAGCCAGCACTGCTAACAACTGGCATTTCAAGAACGTTAGAATATACTTACAGGTACTCCTGAGACCTGACGTGCTTCTGTAGTACAACTTGATTGCCACGCCGAATACTGCGTTACAATTCCTGCTGGGACCTTAACACTTATCATTCGCATTCTTCGAGTCAACGCTGCCGGTATCTTTTTTTTCTTGACGCTCACGCGTTCAAATGGCTCATGTCTGCTCTCGCCGTTCATGGGCAGGTATAAGCTGTCAATCACAAGTGGCAATACGTGACCACGGGAGGAAGAAGAGGAGAAATGAAGGCTGAAGGAGAGGGAGGAAAATCCTACCGCCCGGTTCTTGGCCAATCCCTCTTTGTGGGTGTGCGCCAGAGTAACAAGGATCATCATCATCATCATATTCATCATTATCATCACCATCATCATCATCAGCCAGTTATAAGAACGGCTGGTTACCTTGTACTGGGGAAGAGAGAAAGTGGAGTGAAAAACGAGAGCGAA